TTGGTTGTTATTTTTCTTTTTCATTATGGATAAACAGCAACAACAAAATAAAAATGCAGTAAAGAAAGGAAGGTGATCAAATTGTTTCCCAGGTCATTAGTCGATTTGTTTCAGCCTTGATACGGCTTGGATTTTAAACTTAGATAAGTTTCGCTTACAAACCAAACAAACCACAATTAAGCGTTATCCAACTGGTTGAGTTGTAGACGAGTTCGCTCATTTTAAAATATTTGTGGTACTGTTTTATATTGCGCACAACAAACAACTAGTTTGTTTCCTCCATAATAAAACATTCGCTCTTACTTTCTCTGGTTCGTGCAAAAGAACGCTCTCATATATTTTTATGCTCTATGAAATCGCATAAAATAGAGGATATGGAAGGAATGCTATTTATAAGAGCAGAAACCCTAGAGTTTCCATCTTTAGTGAGGAATAAGTAACGTAGTATTTAGTAAGATTATTACTCCCACTAATTAATATGGGATTATATTAAGATAATTATTATGTTACTAGTTTGTCTTTGTTATTTTCATATATGATACAACACCAGATAATTAAGATACAAAGTCTTCCTAAAATTACAATCTCAATCCAACAAATCCAAAATCTACCCACCCACTCACCCGAACGCTTACCACAAACAAACTGCGTGCACGTGTAGTTTGAAGGTCACTTAGGTCCTTTCTCATTCACAAAAGTGAGTAACCCTAAATAATACACCATTTGGAGTATGAAACCTATATACACACACACACACACACACACACACTTTTTTGAAGACTTCATTTACCAAGGTGGTATTTTAGACTTCTTTTAGTTTTCAAAAAGTTATTCATTTCCAACAGTCCCACTTAATAGTTTTTTGAAACTTTCACTGAGCATTAACAGACAACATAAGATCAAGCATAAACTAAGGTATCTTTCATTTGAACATTAGCGTAGTTGTTACAGTTTATTCCAAAAGAGTGACTCGTGTGTTTATGGCTCAAGATGTCTATTCCGGTTTAGTGAACACTCTTAAAACTATTGCCCGCAAAATTTTATAGGAGGAGGTTCCACTTCCAAATTTACATAGGCGAGTCGATTAGAAGTACTCCCGAAGTTATGTACTTTATTCCACATGGAGTATATATCTTGTTACTATTACCTTAACCACTTTATGCTTCGGGAATTCATGCTTGCATGATCTATCTCATATTATACATAACTGGTTATTACCCATTGAACCTGATTCTTGGGATCCCCTGTTTATGCGCCGAGTTACCATAATGTGTATTTCATCGTTCTATGTGCATAAGTTACATTACCCTTAGCGATATTTTGGACTTTCTCTCTAGCTTATAAGGTCTTCAGTGGATCAACTAGATTCTCTTGTGATTTTACATGATCCACCCTAAATACTCCTATGGTAAGAATTCTTTTACAATATTGTGCTTACCGCGTACCTATAGTGTCTTACCGTTGTACTAATGGTTCTCAACTTTAGTAATAGTTACGGTCAATGCAATCAAAAGCGTAATTCTATGTAAAAGCATTTTGGTGACCTAGAAGTATAAAAACGTAAGCTTTTAAGGAGTAGATTTTGACTACACTTGTAAGTGAAAAGCGCGATTCTATGTAGAAGTATTTTGATGACCTAGAAGTGTAAAAGTCTAAGCTTTTAAGATTTAAAGCGCGATTTTGACTACATTGGTTTTTGTGCTATTACAATGGATCAATGTTGGGGGAACCGTTTTTTCCCATAAGAGAATCTCTGCTAGCAACCCTCTTAACCAACTCGTTTCTTAACTAGCCCTTGCTAGTGCTATCATTTTGTTTCCATAGTTGATTAAACTAGAAAATTTTGCTTCTTAGACTTCCAAGACGAAGCTCCTCTGGCTACGTTAAAACATACCTACTAGTTGCCTTGGAGTCTTCTAATAGAGATTCCAATCTTCATCAATATACCCTTCTAATACAACAAGAAACCTTTAATAGTATATACCAATCTTATTGTTCTCTTAAAATATCTTATGATCCTTTCAATAGCATTTCAATTATCATACTAGGAGAAGCATTAAACCTGCCAAGCAATCCTAAGATACATGTAATGTTGAGTTTAGTGTAGTCAACTTCAAATTGTAGACTACCAATTATGCTAGCATATTCATATTTTCTTACCCAGTCTCCAATGTTCCTGAAAAGATTCATAGTAGCACCACACGACAAACACGCAGACTTACAATCAAAGTAATTGTATTATTAATATATTTCTATGTACCCAGATTGATATATAGAAACTCCCTTTCTTGTCCTAGTGATATGGTTCCAAGCATAACACTAGCTTTATCCATATATTTCATATCAAAGTTCTCACACAACATTGTAGACATCACTGACAACATGAATATTTGAACCAAAGATCAATATTTCCTCCACATACAAACACATGATAGTGCAAGTGTCATCCATAGTGCAAGTGTTAGGATGTAAGCCTACAAGATATCAAGTCTTATTTGAATCCAACAATTCCATCATTAATGACTTCTTCCCACAAATATGCATCTATGAAAGTTAGAGTTTTTTGCAGGCTTATAAGATCTTTCTCTAGGGTAGATAGCAAAATCAGAACCAAAATATTTTGTGAATTTAATTTGTTTTCTTCTTGTAAATTCATACTCAGATTGAACACCCCAACTAGTTCCTTTATCACAATAGCATGTAGTACCACCCCACTATTTGTCAATGTGAATATAAATCATTCCCCAAAATATCGGCATCATGGAATCTGTAATAATATGGACATTCAAATCATAGAATCTATATTCTTTGCTAATGGCGACACAATAAGAAAAAAATCACATTCATAAGCTCTAGTACTCTACTAGTTTTTTAATCTTACTATTGCAATGATTCTCAAAAAATCTTTAACAAACATGTCAAGAGTATCACATTTGTAACCAAAAGACTAATTAGAGCAATCATTAATAAAGCAATAAAGCAAGTCTTTCTCATTCATAGTTAACATCCCACCGCGTTCACACACATGAGAATGAACAAAAACTGTTGTATTCTCTAAACACTTATTTGTGGGGTATTTTTATTATCTTAGATTGGCTACAGAAATTACATTTATCACAATAATTAAAATGATAGTTTGGAAGTGTGATGAAAGTTGCTCAAATTCTCCACTATACATGACAAAGATACACATGCCAAACATTGAAATAAAAGAGAATAATTTGTCTTACCAACTTCAAAATTCATCTTAAATATCCCATCACTTAGATGACTCTTTCTCTCAAATTTACCATTCTTAGTAAGGTATACAAATTAGCACACATATCTTGATGAAACCCATACTTGTTAAGAAGGTAGTATCAAACAAGTTTCGTTCTTATCTCAAGAGTAATCAAGACGTCTAGCATAGTGAATATCTTGCAAGAGGTAAATTTCAATTAAAATACTCACGAACCAATAACAATAGTGGTATCAAGAGTACCCAACAACACTTTCTTATCAACAAGGGATTTAGCGTATGTCTTGAACATAGCAGTTACAACCACCTTCCATCCAAGTTACTATGAGGTTAACTTCAGCTATCAGTTTCTGTCATCATATCCAACATATCCTCTTTTTCAATCAAGTTAACACTGGGACTAATGTTAGACTTGTTCATACACTCTCGTGTCACATGGCGTAGTTTGTCATTTTATGGCTTTGGCTCGTCCATACACAACCAAGACTGTGGAATAGCAATTTCTTTGGGGCGCCATCAGGCATCACAGGTTTTCGTGGTCCATTGTAGTGACCGAGATGCACTATTCTTGTGGCAATTTTGGCAGGAGGTGTTCACCTTGGCTAAGACAGAGTTAAGGATGAGTATGCCTACCACATGTGGTCTGATGGCAGACGGAGGTTGTCAATAAGCATCCGAAGGAGTATCTGAGGTGTTTCGCACACCAAAAGTCGTGCGACTAGTTATCCATGTTGTTGTGGGATGAGTTGTGGTACAACACCACGTACCATAGGGTGATCCGGATGACTCCCTTTGAGGCGTTGTATGGGCGCTCACCTCCGACATTGGTGAGGTACCAGACCGGCACCAAAATTGTGGACGTCGTGGATAGTTAGATGGCTGCTCAGGATGGGGCACTGAAGCAGTTGAGGCAGAATGTGGCCGCCTCGAATAACCGGATAAAGTAGTTGGCAGACGTTAGACGCCGAGAAGAGGAATTTGCAGTTGGAGATTGGGTACTTCTCCGACTGCATCCCTACCGACAGACCTCAATGTTCAGGAGGGCATATCAGAAGCTGGCAGCCCTCTAGTTTCGAACTTACCAGGTGTTAGAGGGAGTTGGCCAGGTGGCCCACAAGTTGTAGTTACCGGAAATGGCCCGCATTCACCCGTCATTTTATGCATCGCTGTTGCGCATGTACCGGAGCACCGACAAGCCAAACTCGCCACCGAGTCCGTTGGTGGATGAGGATGTAGGGTTGGAGTTGACAATGGTAGAACTATAAGAGACTGGGTGGGTTCGATGGGAGGGAAGCTGTTGGAAGAAAGTATTATTCGTTGGTAGCACGTGGAGGCTGACGATGCAATGTGGGACGACACAGAGACCATTCGTCTGACTTACCCAACATTCGAACTTGAGAGCAAGATCAGTCTTTCAGAGCGGAGGATTGTTAGAAACTCGCTAGTGAATGGGTTGGGTTAGAGGGGGCTCGATGCTGTTGGTATTGATTTGTTTTTTTTTTTTTTTTTTTGGTTTGCAGCACTATTTAAACCTTGGAGAGTATTTTCAAATTAAGCAAAGAATACTATTGAAATCTCTAAAAAAAAGTTATCTCTCTACTTCTCTCAATCCTTCACTAATCCTTCTCTTATTTTTTTGAAGTTGTGTTCATTAAGATAGAAGACTTGGCCAATCCCACGAGGGAAGTGTACAACCAAGCAAAGCAAAAAATGAATGGAACAAGCCCAAACAAAGAGTCCCAGAGAAAAATCCGGGCAGCCACACAACAAGTCTAAGTCTCTCCCAAACCCTAGCCTCTAAGTGCCTCCTCCGAAACTCATCCACCGCCGTGGTTGAGCACCACCATCGCACCGAACAAATTGCAGCCATCCACCCATTAAGCGTCATCGCGAGCAACACCATGGATCGGTTACCCACCACACCCGGAGGGAGAGATGAGGAGGAAAGCCACCACCGAACAGCCCACCCCGAGCCGATTGTTGTGCACTCCCGCGAACCACCACGAGAACCAAACAGAAACTGGATAACAGGTGGAGGAAACAAAGAGTTAGAATACACCAGTCTTCAAGCTCTTCCAACTAGGTCCTCGCCAAGGGCTGCATCTCCGGATCGCCAAGAACTGCAAGGCAAAACAAGGAGGTAGACCAAAGGAATGGAGAGGAGAAGCCACGTCGAATTTGTATCAGATCCAACTTCCATCGCATCTTGAACTGGAACAAGCCGGTCACCGGAGGGACGCCAACGGCAGTCTCATGGTCGCCAAAATTAGAGAGAAGGCAGAGAAGTAGTTTGAGAGAGAGGGAGAGAAAGGAAAAAGGGCTTGCAACACTAGTGGTGGTGAATGGTGATAGAGTTTTCTTCTCTAATTCTTCTCAATCCTCAATTCCTAACCTTAATTTCCATCTTCAATCTTGATCAATTGCCCTGAATAAGCAGGTTTCTTACATAGAGGTTTTAGAGAGTTGGTTGAGAAAATGAAGATGGTGTTGGAGCTAAAGAAACGAGCCAGCCGCCCAGCCCTGAGGTTTGCATAGGCTTGTTAGTTAAGCTGCTGTGGTGTCATCAAGTGCCTGTCTTTGATTTCCTTTTTGCAGCAATCGTATTGATGAAAGAACAATATAAAAGCTCGTGTAACCCATAGATCAAATTAATTTAAAACAATAAATGAATTAATGACCTCAACATCTAACAATAAATGAATGAATGACCTGAGCATCGAGAACCAGGCCATTCCAGTTACTAGGCAAGGTATTCCAAATCCAACTAGTTTCTGCGATGCAACTGTGCAAGGTATTCCAAATCCGTGTCCCTACAGACCAAAACCAAACCGTCAAACGTTCTAAATGGTTTCAGTCAACCTGAACCTTAAGTCTGGTTACAGTTACAGGGAAAAGTTGCCTAAACAATTTTTGGTAGTATGCTTAACTGTTCAGTTGGAGAAGCTTCATGACAAAAGAAAAGACTCCTACAATGATCTGCTGACCCTTGTATTAGATTCGCACAGATAAGGGTTCCAGTCAATTCAACATTTCATGAAAAAGGGAATATCGACTTCAGACTCTGGCAGACAACAATGTTTTTCGTGCAGTACACACTACAATAACGTCCACCACATTCCTGTTTCCAACAGCTACATCTCTTCCAAATCACCCCAAAATTTGGCTCTGCCATCTACACTAAAAATTCAATTCAACTATGGTCTCCTCAACAGCAAAATAATATCTCCTATTTCTACAACTTCTCTCTCTACCATTTGTTTCCGGTCTTCCGGGACATATTCAGCCACCATACAGCCTACAAGGACACATCAGTGAAAAAAGGAAAACAAATTGTGTATTAGTTTGATAAGTCACCTTTTCATCTGTACACAGAAATTCGGTTGCTACATTGGATTCGGCTTCCGTGGATTTTGCAATCATCTGGTGGTCCCGGCAGCATCATCCTCGCCACTCAGACTTCCAGGATCATCAACGGACGGTCGCTTTAATCTCTGGAATATCTCGTCGAGACTCTCGGGCGATGAATCGTGGGAGACGAGCTTTGAAGGTTCATGTGTCTGCCTTAGAGGAAGAAATCCCTTTGCCTCTATATTGGCTTTGAAGGTCTGAAACCCGTTCTTCATTGACTCCCACCTAGCAGTAAGACCAGATGAAGATGAAGACATCCCCCCTCGAGTTGTGTTGTCGGAATCTGAGTTCCCTGCATCAAGCAATGACACCTTAGCGGAAGCTATGTTCTTCTCCACTGGCCTCAGGTTGGAAAGTCTACTCTGCTGTCTAACCGCAGCATACTTACTGCTAAGAGCTTCTCTGCTCGGATTGTATCGACGAGTCTCTTCCTTTGAAACTCTATTCAATGAACCTCCCGCTTTGTCATCGGTGATCAAATTGCTTGTAGACTTCATTTCCACCGTTGTCTTATCCTGCAATTTTATCCACTTGCCAAAGCTAAATACCAATAAAAAACAGATGCACAGGGGATATCTTGTTTATACAAGATTTTTAAGAAAACCATGGGTGTTTCTGTTCTAATACTAAGAATAAGTAAAATGTTTCAAGTTTTAATAGACGTGACAAAAATGTGTTTGGTTGGATTTTGAAACAGAATTATAGGGGATGGTAAGTAGTTTGTTTTTAAGCTGAAGCAAAGTGATATGAGCATGAAGCATCATTAACATTTGAGTTAAGATGTTCACCATGTTGTTGCTGGCAGACTCAACATCCATGCCGTTAAAGTTCCTCGCTAATGGGACAACATGCTCACCGACTCCCTGTCCTTGTTCTAACCACAATCTTTCTGCAAAGAGTCAACACAGCCAGTTTCAAGAGATACAGTTAAACGTATGAAGGACAGCGTGATTTGGGTTCTTGATTCTATAAAAGAGTGACATATGAGCACTCACCCTTCTGAAGAATAATTAGTCCTGAAGGATCAAAGCCATCTGTATCATAAACCTCTTCCAATTGCCAAAGAAACCTAGTAAACGGTCGAAGAAGTTGCTTGCGACCAGCAGAGTGTAGAGAACCATGAAAAGTGGATAGATTCTGTTGAAGCCAACTCCAAAAAAGGGAACAGCGTCATTAATCTTCCCCATTCGCTGCAATCATATCGTGGCACAAGACCCATGTCAGTAATAGTATGTACATAAACCTTAAGTAGAAAGTGAGAAAGAGCAGGGGGGTCACTCTTCTACAAAGCATACAAAGATCACAAAGCTCATTGAGGAGGCTCTAGCTGGAGAAGATTCAAAAGACAACTAATCACAGTGAGCAGAAAAGCAGACTAAGATTCAAGAATTCAAAGAAAGTAACCATGTTTGAGAAGGGAATAAACTATCAAAGGTGTCAAAAGTGCAAATTTTATTCATAACAAATTACCTCCTCAGTGATCCATTTTGTGATTTTCAGGGTAAAAAAACAGAATCCTAATCTTCTAATAAAAGGTAAAGTACACAACAATGCCTCTAGTCTCATTCCGTTTTCAGCAAGCTTAAGATACTCGTGAACTTTTATAGGATTGAGCAATGAGAATTTTACCTTTTCAAATACCGTATCCTTATCACCGAGATTAATGAGGTTAAGATAGTTGTATGAAATTGGAGGAGCATATCGAGCAACCATCCTGATGAATGTGCATATTAAAACAATTAGAAACATAAGAAATAAAAATAAAAACTTCTCAAGTTCAAAGAGCGTCTTTGGACAGCATAGACCAATATAGCTTTGAGAAACACTCACGAGCATATCATAAGCAAGCTCACAGAACTTGTTTGTCGGGGAGTTAGTGAATAGAACATCAACATTCCAATTTTGAATAATGAATAATATGTGCAGATGCACATATACATCAAAGGCACAAGAGCTGAGACCTGGACATAAACCAAAAAAAAAAAATAACATAAGAAACAGTAGCCTAGAACTGAACCTCCATCCCCACCTTAATATAGTTTATGAAAGCAAGAACAAAGGGAGTGTACCTGTACAAAAAGTTCTTGCCGTCCAACAGATTTAATAAGGATAGAAAAAAGTGACAAATCAACGCCAGTAATTACAAGTGTTGCCTCAGCTAAGAGAATTGCAGCTGACATGGTGCCAAGTATAATAGCCAAGAGCTTCTCAAGTTGCTTCCTCAGTACGCATCTCCAAAGAAATTCTGGATTCATATAAACATGAAACGAGAAACACTTAATACAACCAAAATCAAGTATAAGGTAATTCATTCAGGAGCTCTCCTTTGAATGTCAAACTCACAATGACGCACCCAGCAAGGGTGAGACCTACACAGTGTGAATACTGCCTAGAATCAGTATGGTTAATGCAAGTAGCTTTGTAGAAGTTTCCAAGACACTGGTTTATATGAACTTATTCCTGGCTGGAGCTTGATGTTAATTAGTACAGTTGAGTTGCCAGTGAATTTTGACCATAACTCCGTCAGGAGTGAAAAAAGTAGTTGGCTACGCATTGATATCTATGGGGGATCAATGTGCTGTGGCATATGAATGAGTTATAACTAACCCTAGGGAAACACGAAGACACCTTTCCTCAATGTAAGTTCAGCAAACCAAGATATGTGACAGCAATCTGCTGCAGCGCAACTTTCTGAATCGATTGCAACTCCATGCATGTCACCTGTAGGATTATCATGGACTATCCTCGTCCACACTACAGATCGATTTCATCATAACTAAATAGGATATTAAAACATGTTACGGACCTATTACCCCCATGGATAACACTGTGTAAGTACTAAGTATTTTTCTTCCAGCAAGTTCTAAATCCATTAGTTTTTTGACTTTTTCCATCATGATTACAATTGTCGGGTGGAATAAGTCTAAACCTAAAGGACAAAAACACATGCAAAACTGGTACTTACCTATGGTATCCACCAATGAACCCAGTGTCCCACTTCTAGCAGGTCTGAAGCTGGACATGTATTTCCTGATAATTCACACATTGGCATGTTAGAGAAAGAAACTCGAAATTGATTATAGGGGACATCCTCAAGTAAAGAACTCAAGGTCATAAAAGAGGCCCACCATCCAGTTGAGTTTCTGCGTTCATAGTTTTTAATTGCATCTTCGAGTTCAAGAGCTTCCAAGACAAATGTCATGTATTCACTACAACACGAAAAAAGATTAGATTCTTAAGGTAAGCAAATAAATTCAACCAGATTCAAAGCTAACTCTAAATTGTGGCCATCAACTTCAACAGTAAAGCAACTAACCGACTCTTTGGGCGTATCAAACTAAGTTAGCAAGAAACCATTAAGCTGTTTTCTAAGAATAGTAGGGGCCTTTACTCTGTATGAGGATGTTTTTTTTTTTTTCATTGACAGAATATTACCAAGAATATTCAACTATTTGGTTCCTTTAGAAACTCCTACAAAGAGTACACATCTTTTACACTAAAGGGGATGACAAGATTTTCTTGAAACTCTCAAGCGATTTTCCTCAGCAGGATTCCATCTTGTTCTGGCCTACCCACTAAAGGTTGCTTAGGCTTACTATCTCAAACCTTATCACCCTAGTGAACCAGTTGTTCCTCTGTTGACAACGAAATTCTATTTCCTTCTGATCTTCACAGAACTAAAACCAAAATTTTCCTTCTAGAATTCGGTTGGGGCAGTTGGTGGTGGAGCAAAAAAAATGGCTCGTCAACCCATTAGAGCAACTCTTAGTCCAATGCATGATAGATACATAACCTGATAGAACCCAAGTATCACACTCATATATAACATGCATTCAATATACCTTTTGTAACGATAATATTCATCTCGAGCTCGTCGAAGATGACGCCTGAGTGTTGCCATTGATTTCTCATCTGTGTCATAGTCCATATCATTTTCCCCCAGTCGACCACCTTGAGGCTTAAAAGATGGATCTTGCCTAAACTGCAGAACAGAATAAGAATATCAGGAATCAAGCACAGCACATTTCAGATCAAGAGAGAGAAAATGAGGATAAACTATACCAGCTGAGCCAGCATATTGTCAATGACATCCATGTAGGGTCGCAAAGGATCACGCTTGGACATCTGATTTGATGTTGCTTGAGCGACCTAAAACAGGAGATACAAATCAAAAGAAATGAACACAACTTATCCATAGCAAATGAGAGCAGACCGTTTGGAAACTTATCAAGTAAAAAGGAAAATCCTATAACAGTTTACTTTTCTTTTATAATTTACGAAAAGCTAAATCATCCAAAACAAATGTTGCACAAGTATTTAATACGCCTTGTCATTGTTGAGTGCTAGGATTTAGAGATAAAACATGAATTGGCCATCAGAGAATGGTTGCTGGCCAACTGAGAGATCAACAGTGGAAAAACCTCTGAACTGCTAAATATAACGAAGCAAAAGAATGACTGCAAACAGCATCTTTAAGACTTAAGTGCTCAATTCTTGAATAATCAGACATAGGAATGTATCTCCTACGCTGTCTTCCAAAAGGAGTAACACTCACCACAATGGCATTGGAAAATTCCTGATGGGCATCATCAAGTTTCACAGCCATTTTTGCAATCTTATGAGAAAGAACCTTTTGTCGTATAGTCCAATCTGCGTTTCTCCACAGAGTCTTTGGAATCTCACTCAAACCAAAACCAAGAAGAAATGCACCTGTCACAAGTCCAAAAGTATTTGAGCACGCCATAGCAAAACCAAGCACACCATTAGTCCTGCCAATGAGAAACCAACAAGAAATGAGCAATTGAAACAAAAGCATACCACATGCTTATACCAGTAGAGATTCAATCCCAGTTACACCCACAAAAATATCACAAGACTTTCCATAATGAGATTCTCGGAAACCAGCTCGAAAGAAAGAAGGGGAAGAAAGGTACCTTATCTTGTCCATCATTATTAGAAGAATAAGTCCAAAGAGGCCAACAGATCCAACAATCAGATAGAAGATTAAGTTAGCATGTATGCTGGTCTTCAACTTTTCAGTCATAGTAAAGTCTCCAGCATCTTCGAAACCCTGAATAAGGGGCACTAAACCCCTGTGTAGAAATTAAAAACAAACAGCTTTAAATATGATAAAGTTTCATCTCTGGACAACGAATTGTTGAAAATGATCAATATCATCAAATGCATCGCTAGTGTCTCATACATATCAATAGGATAACATTTGAGAAGGGCTGGGAATAATCAGACAGAGAACAAGTCTATTACAAGTACATCAGTTACATGATTACATAAACTTAATTCCACGTCTAATTGTATTCTTTTCCACTGAAGAAAAAGGAGTCAACTCAGAAAGCTAATAGTGAGAGATAGTTATTGGCCTCAATCAGCTATACCCTAGTCAAATACTTACAGAGAAGTACGAGAACTGAATACACAGCCGGGCAGAATTAGGAAGACTTAACTTCTTTAGCTGATGCAACCGACTTCCAAACATCATTAGTATGGTAAATGCATAAAACGGATCCGAGGGATTCAACGTACCAAGTAAGTAAGAAAGTACTCCAATACGACCAGCTCCAGAGGAAAGAGATTGCGCCTGTTTCGAACCCAAACATAGTCTGTGAACATACGAAAAGCACCGTGCATGTTAACAAAACCCAAGCCAATGAAATCAGCAGACAGGAAATGCTTTAATTCCATCACTTAGACAAGATGCTGGCTATCTTGAAGGAAAACAAGGAGTTGCCAAATTGATAACAAACATGTAGATTCACCTAGGATCAAGACCATCTCCTACAAAGGAATAGAAGGCATTCGTCCCTAGTAAAAGATCCCAATCGTTCTCTCTCAAATTTCCGCTAGACTACATTGTTCACAGCAACTAATCTCAATTCAATTCCGAATTCCAGCACAAACATAAGACGCAGAACCTTCGTAGATGAAGCAAGTGACCGAATCACAGAGAAAATAAACATGCTAAGAGAGAATTACCGTCCAGATATCTGCGGGAACGAGAATGATGATGGAGAGGGAGCAAAACCAGGTGTATCCGACAGTGAAGAGAACGTAACGCGGCACCTCTGGCCCGGCGAAGTATCTCAACGTAGAGACGACCATACCGAGGGTTAGAGGCAACGAGATCAGGTAAAAGACCCACATCTTTCCCTTCCTCGATTCGAATTTCGTGCTTGCTGGTGTTCCCCTTCTTCACGACCGCGAAGAGACGGAGGAGAGAAAGGGAGAGGTCACAGGAGACTGGATCCGGGGAAGGCAACGGCCGATGAGGAAAATATATTCCGGCTCGTTTGGTTAAGCCTTCAGCTAGTCTCGTGTGGCTCCTCCATATCCAGGGAGTCTCTGAGTTCGTACGTCTTCTTTGTTTGTGTTATTGCCAAGGAATAGTTGGGTGTCGTCTTTCCAGTTTCCACGTTTTCACTTCTGAAAATTTTGAGAGAAGGCTGCAAGACAGTCAAAAATCAGAATGCCGATGGTGAATGGCAACAGCCGATGGAAAAACCACGTTAGAAACTCGACTCATTTACTAACGAGCCAAGTTTGAGGTTAATTTTGTTCAACTTGTGAAGTTCGCGAGTTAGCTCGATTCGATGGCTTGTTGAGTTCAACTCGTGAGTTGGCTCATTTAGAACTTATGAGATGTCTCAACATTGTGGTTTGAGGGCCAACTTGATCACCGACTTATGGATGAATCGATCTAATTTGGACTTTCATAATTCATATGATTGTTAAATTATATATCTCACATGTTGAACATGTAAGAAAATATGTCTTATTTTTAATTCTCTAAAGAAATTGCCTTTGAATCGGAAGCCCTAGACCATACCAACTCGCTTTATGTACAAAATTATTTCGATACTATAAAATAACATGATTTGAACTAGTTAAAATTTATTAACTAAACAATATGACACCTACAAATTATAATATAAGATTAATTAATGTTGAACATTTGATTATTTTTTTAACCATTACATCAATCACATGTACCATACACGACATACAAAATGAATGTATCAAATACGATCTAACGTGAACGGAAATATGAAAATAATGGAGGTCTGTACCGTAGTCGACCCAATCCAGATTTGCAGGCAGGTAGGTTGTCAAGCCCACTCATTAGGCCCTTTCAGTTTTCTGCAAGGTTGTCACCCTGCGGGCTGACCCGGACCGGGTTGAGCTAGTGGGTCAAGGATTAATGGATCACCAGTTTTAGCCCGAAAATATGGAAATAGTCATTATATTATACTTATCGTGATAAATTATATCAAATCTCATCTAACTTATGAGTTATGACATATAATATTATACCAAAATAACATGTCATACTTATATCGTGAAAATTCACACACACTTATATAACATCAATATTCAAATGTTCAGTTTAGAATTCCAAAGATTGCTAGGCAAAAAGAAAATTCGAAAAATAGACGCATTTCGCAAACCTAAAAAAAATGACACAAATTTGACCTCCAACCCGGTCAGAGTCAAATTGGATCAACCCACGAGTTGATCCGCGGGTTGAGATTTGAGAACCTTTTCCGCGCCGAAAAAGCCTTTTCATTCCTTGAGTATAATGATAATCCCGCTTCCCAAGTCAAACTGATTTAGGAAAAGGAAATTGTCTGCAACACGTTCCCCATATCCACCAACAAACAAGTTTCCACCAATAAACGGCGAACGTGAAACTGCCTACGTGGATCGCAACGCAACAGGTAGCACCCAGCTCAGAATCTCTGCTGCTAACCGCGAACCAATAGGAATCCAGTATTCACAAACAGAGATCCGTGACACCTCCTAGGAAGTAATCTCAGCCGTCCATCAAACGCAAGAAAACACAAATCAGTATCTTATAAACCGTTGGATAATTTACTGAACAAGCACACGGATAGTCAATCACATCCGTCGATCCTTCACCACCGCTCATTATAAATAGTCCTCGGCGGCCCTTCAATCCGAAACTTTTCCGTGCTTTTAGAGAGATAAAGCAGACAGAAGAGGAGCGAGAAGAAGGAGAAGAGGAAGAAGAGCGAGAAGAAGAAGAGGTATGGTCTTTTTTCCGCCCCCTTGTTTCTTCCGTTTCTCGGTGTAGGAATATTCATCTATCTGGTTATTTGCCCTGAGATTCTCGCTCCGTTGTTTCCGATTCAGTCCGTCTCGTTGCTTCTTCTGATTTCTTCCCCGCGATAGAGTGCCCATGGATTTTCCCCATTTCGTTTCATTGCATTGGCAAGTAGTTTCTCCTCGAATCAACCTCTTCCTTCGTAGACCGGCGTCGATTTATTGAAAAAAGCCCGGGGTTAAGCTGGCTGCAGGTTAACGAATTAGGGTTTATGTGCTATTTAGACTTGATTATGTCGTTTAGAGTACAATTGTTACCTTGGAAATCTAGGATTCTTCGCTTCCAGAAGAAATTGTGATGCAATAGGGTACACTGTTTAGGAAATCTGATGGACGCTCTTTAGTTTGAATTCAAGTCTAGTTTCAGAGTTGAATAAGTTCTTCTTCCTTCAAATCTGGGGCGGTTGAGTATAATTTTAACTGGGTAACTGTGAGCTTGTATAATATTGGTTCCTGCCAGAGATTTTGTTATTGGTTGTAAAGATTGTGTTCTTTCAGCGCAGATGGCTCGTACAAAGCAAACTGCACGCAAGTCCACTGGAGGAAAGGCTCCCAGGAAGCAGCTCGCTACCAAGGTTTTAATCTTTTCCTTCCCCTTCTATTATAAGTTGTTCAGTTTCTTCACCTCTCTCTTCTGTGCATGTGTGATCTGAGCGTTTTTCTCTGTTCTTTGATAGGCTGCCCGTAAGTCTGCCCCCACCACTGGTGGTGTGAAGAAACCCCATCGTTACAGACCCGGAACTGTTGCTCTTCGGTGAGTTTAAATCTGTAATTCTATGTTGGTCTGATTTCAAGCTTGGTGTAATGCTTCTGATCCGTTATTTGGTAAATCGTGTGCAGTGAAATCCGTAAGTACCAGAAGAGCACTGAACTTCTGATCAGGAAGCTGCCATTCCAGAGGCTTGTTCGTGAAATTGCGCAGGATTTTAAGGTATCTAGTAATAATGCGTATAATTCAATGTTCTTCCTGTTCCGTTGGTGTTTGCTGCCACTGTTCTAATCTCAGTTTGGCTGATTCTTGTTGTGTATTGCAGACTGACCTGCGTTTCCAGAGCCACGCAGTGCTTGCTCTGCAGGAGGCAGCTGAGGCATACCTTGTGGGGCTGTTTGAGGACACCAATCTGTGTGCCATCCATGCCAAGCGTGTCACCATTATGCCCAAGGATATCCAGTTGGCCAGGAGGATCAGGGGTGAGCGTGCTTAAGGACCAATTAGAATGTGTTGTGGTTGATATCTTCTGGAATGGGAAGATGGTCAATGGAATGGTGTAATTTTGGGGGGTTGGTTTTTGGATGTAGTAATTCACTGTTGTTTTCTCTGCCATTAACTGGTTTAAGGGTAGATAAAAATAGTTCATCTTGGGGAACTTAGGCCTTGTTGAATTGAACATTGCTAGCTATGTGATATGGTTGTAATGGTGTAGTCTTGTGATGTTTCATTCCTGATTCTGGACCTGAACCTTTGATAATATATAGTTTCTTGAACATTGTGGATTCGGATTCTTGCCTTACGTTGTACTTTCTTGGGTCAATTTTGGGTGGGGACTGTCAATTAGGGCTTACATAGTAGGTCTCTGCAAACAGACTGAACCTGAAACCCGAAAACTGTTACCCTCACAACCTGATCCCGATAAGGAAGATTTTGGGTTTTGGCCCGAAACCCGATTGCAAAGTTTGCGGCTAGGGGTGTCCATTCGGGTTCAGTTTTTTGGGTTTACCAGTTTTGGGTTCGGTTTTGCTTATCGATTTTTTGGGTTCTGGCTAAAAACCTCCAATGAATAGAACTTAGCCAATATTTTTAGACGTTTGGGTTTTGGTTTTGCTTTAACTGAACCTGAACCATATAGGAATTTTTTGGTTTCGGGTAACCGGAACCCGCAAGTCCTTATCAGGTTCGGGTTCGATTTTAGTGATTTTCAGTTTCGGATTTTCGAGTTTTTTCGAGTTTCGATTTGGGTAACCGAACTCGACCCTAACTGACACCCCTATTTGCGGTAGTGCATCCTTCTTCTTTTGTCCCTTTTTTGTTTTTCCTGATTCGTCTTGGGCTCTTGCCTCCTGGCCATTTTCATTAATTAAACATTAAGATCATTTAAATATATTTACACAATAAATAAAAGTCAAATGAGAAAACTTGAAGCCCCATTTCAAATTTCATGCATCCAAAGTGAAAGTAGGAAGGACATTTTGGTCTTCACAATTACTTTTTTATTTATTTATTAAAAAGACTCTTACTAGGATTCGAACCATGACCATTTTAAAGAAAAACAAAGATCATAACCAATCACAGTAACTACATTTGTTATATCTTTTTAAATTAAAAACATATAATCGCAGAGGGAAAAAAACCTTCCCACATTTCAAATTCCCTGCTCCAGGAGCGTTTGTAGGAAGGGTAGAATAGGGAGTGTCAATTTTGTTCTTTTTCCTCTGTGGAAAGGGCCAACTTACCGTACACATGCGAATTTAAACGGGTCCAGGAGTGTCAATTTTTTTCTTTAAGTCCTTTTATTTCTCCGTGGTGGTAAAATTTACACAAAAAATAAAATCCAAATGAGAAAACTTGAAGCCCCATTTCAAATTTCATGCATCCAAAGTGAAAGTAGGAATGACATTTTGTTATTCACAATTACTTTTTTTATTCATTAAAAAGACACTTACTAGGATTCGAACCATGACCATTTTAAAGAAAAGCAAAGATCATAAGCAATCATACTAAGTACATTTGTTGTATCTTTTTAAATTAAAAACATATAATCGCAGAGAGGAAAACCCTTCCCCCATTTCAAATTCCCTGCTCCAGGAGCGTTTGTAGGAAGGGTAGAATAGGGAGTGCCAATTTTTTTCTTTTTCCTCTGTGGAACGGGCCAACTTAGCGTACACATGCGGATTTAAACGGGTCCAGAAGTGTCAATTTGTTTTCTTTAAGTCCTTTTATTTCTCGGTGGTGGTAAAATATATATGAAAAGGCAAAAACAATACTCCTTTTTATTGCTAAAAAGAAAAAAAATAAACAATAAACTAATGCATGGATTCTAATGGGCTAACCACTAATCATAAAATAAAAGAGTTGAATGGGCCTGACCTACACGGGATTTGCCCATCAAGTAAAACAAATGAACATCATAGGTTTGCCATTCTAAAACAAGCTATTTTCTCTAGCATAATATATATTATGCTATTATTTTATATCTTAGTGACTAAAATATAATGTATTCAATGGTTCAACCTCGACCAGCCCAATTAGTCCAATTTTTATCATTTCAAATATATATTATGTAATTATTTGATATCATAATGATTAAATTATAGTGTATATTATAGGGAATCGTATGGTATTTGTTAGTAAAAAACTAAACAGAAATATCTATTTGGTTATTTTTAACATTAAAACAATCCTAAACATTTTCAGTTTCCTTTCGAAATTCTATATTTTTATTCCCGAATCAGTGATGTGCAAATGGCGAATTGCAGTCATCTCTTTTCTTTCATTATTTTTTATTTTCAAATAGAAATTTTAAAAGTAAAGAATAATTAGAGTTTGGCATGGGTCGGTCAAACAGACTGAATTTCAAGTTTTGGCCCGTTTTGATCAAGTCTAATTTATAATCACATGGTTCCTTGATACCCGATAAAAATCTCAATCCAAACCAGTTTGGCAGGTGAATCCGTGTTTACCACCATTTTCTAGGGATACAGGAACGATGGTTCCTATCCCAAATCGTGTTGTTCATTCTTAATTTCTTTAGATTTTATCATGGCTTGGCAAAAAACCAGAAAGCACAATGATGACGAGATGAAAGTTTTATAAAGCAAATTAATCGGCCAACGGGCCGAGTAAAAGCTAGCAACGATTGTGAGATGCTCATTTCCCGAAAATCGGCGGGATATGCGTTTTTTTATTCGATTTTCTGGAATTTGGTTTCTATAAAACTTACTCCACCTCATCATATTACCAGAAACAATATTATTTCACAAGGTAACAGGTACTTGATTTTGGTTCATAAGGCTGATTTTTTATTCGTTGCGTCATTCATGTCTCTTTTCGACTAAAATTCACTATTTTTATCACGTGTTTCCCTAAAAAAAACTATACAACAATAAGCTATACACCCTATTACATTATCAAATTTAATACCTCACCTTCCTCCGGCCAAATGGCCGGGGCCCACACTAGTTTAAATATTATACTTCATGTATGAAAAAAGGTCATTTTCTCTTCTCTCTCTTCGTTTCTCTGAACTCTAAAATCGAGTTTTTACCGATGGCGGCCGTGACTGACGGTGCGGCAGCCGTCGATGACGGTCGATCGTGGGCGTCGTTGTTCGGTATCCCGGAAGACAATCGGTTGGACTACTATGAGCCGGAGTACGTTAATGGCTCGCTGAGGATTTCGAGGAAGGTTGTGGAAGGAGCTAAACGTTGGGAGAACAGTTTAGTGGGGTAGTTCATTGATTGCCCTGCGTCAATTTCGTCAATTCGATCCTGGGCTAATTGGCTATGGGGAAAAGATGGGGAGATTCGTGTTTCAGGTATGGGGCGGAGACTAGTACTCTTCCAATTCCCTAATGCTGAGATTTGTCAGTGGGTATTCGAGAGCGGTCCTTGGCATCATAGGGAGAACTCGTTGTTTCTGCGCAAGTGGAAGCCAGGGATTAGCCCCTTGAAGATGGATAATTCCTCGTTGCCCATTTAGGTGAAGCTTTCGCATATGCCGACAGAGTTAACTTCAAAGGAGGGATTGGGGCGAGTAGCAAGCTCTCTTGGGCGTCCGCTCTGTATGGACAAGTCCACTACTCGAGGTAAGAAGGTTGGGTTCGCTCAAATCTGTGTTGAAGTCAAATCCAGTGCAAAGAAGATTTCCAAGCTGAGTGTTACTCCTGATGGTTTGCCTGAGCTATTCATAGATGTTGAGTATTGTCATATGCCTAAGGTATGTGAAAAGTGTAGTTGTTTTGGCCATAGTTGCACAAGCCTGTGGAAGAGCAGCAACAAGAATGACAGAAGAAGGTTTCAGTAATTGGTGAGGCTCAGTTAGCTCCACAATCAAGTGATGGGGAAGTGCAGAGTGTAGTCTAGGAAGCTGCTATTACAGAAGCTGGTAATGTCCCTGTGGAATCTGGCTGAAAAAGCAAAGGAAGTGCTGATTGAGAACCCGATAAGTAGTCCTGCCTAATGCTAGAACTCCTTCACCACAAGGAGGCCTGGTTGATGAAGAACGGTTTACCCTGGTTGTCAATAAGAAGAATAGGGTATGGTTGGGCTCCAGTTCCAGTTCCAGTTCTCAGAGGCAGAGGGATTTATCAGGTAGGCTGGCTGCTGGATTGGCAAGTGGGAGAATGGGGGCTAAAATTGCTTTTCCTCCTCCTCTGTCTCCACCAAAGGGTAGAGGGAGGGGGGAAAAGCGTGGAAAATGAAGATCCTAAGTTGGAATATCAGGGGTTTTAATGCCCCTGATAAACACTCGGCAGTGTTAGAATAGCTGAGGGTGAAGAGGATTGATATAGTGGGTCTATTAGAGACAAGAGTAGCAGAGGAAAATAGTAATACTATAATAACATGTCGTTTTTCTGCCTGGAAGCATCTAGCTGACTATACTAATTCTAATAATGGTAGGGTGGGGATTTTCTGGAGGGCAGGTCTAAAGGTTACTCTAGTTGATGAAGGCAAGCACTACATACAAATCTTGGTGGATGATATTAAACCTTTTCATGTGGTATTTTTCTATAGTCCTAACAAGGAAGCAGAGCGCAAATTACTCTATCAAGAGCTGATGCTTCCTAGAGATGATGGAGTCCCAATGATCTTTATGGGGGACTTTAATGCAATATCTGATGTTACTGAGTCTTCCAGTACCGAGGTGATTACTCAGAGTATGCAGGATTTCCGTGGTTGGATTCAAGGCATGGAGTTAACTGATTATAAAGTGACAGGCTGCTGGTTTACTTGGTGGAATCGCCAGAGAAACAATCCAATAGCTCGAAGGATTGATAGGGTTCTGGTCAATGAAGCATGGTTGGAGGGTTTTGTGGAAAGCTCTGCTTATACTAATCCTCCGGGGGTTGACTGGGGCAAGCAGGTCTCAGGGTTATGTTTGCTTTGTCCTGGAGGTATTGAATCTCGAAATCATCTTTTGGTTTCTTGCTCTTTTACAGTGTCTGTTTTGCGAAAATGCTTGAAGCAGTTCTCCCCCCAGTGGATGAAGAATGGAGTTCAGTAGTGGCTTGGTGTGTTCATCACTCGGGAAGGAAGGTTCCAAGACATGTGTTGTGTCGATTGCTTTGGAGTACAACTATAAGCTATGTTTGGAGCGAGCGATGTATCAGATTATATGGTTCCAAGTTGGCTAGACAGCCGGATGTGTTAGTACAACAGGTACTTGCTGATGTTTCTTGTAGAGTTTCTTGTGACCCTACCCTCCAGGAAGAGTTAGAGCATATAGAAAGAATAGTTTTACCTATTTAGGTTTTCTTTTCTTTTGGTTGTAACAGTTTGAGAGGCACATCAATCTTTCTTTGATGGTTGCCGGTGCTTAATGAAATTTTTGATTTCGCATAAAAAAAAATATATTCAAATATTAATTTATTATT